CACCCAATACCAGGGCTACGTCCAGTCTCCAGCCAAATTCCAGCTGAGTTCCACTAGATCAAATGTTTTACAGATTACAATCTTACACTTAATCTACCACAAGAACCACAATTCCAGTTCCTGCACCTAACCTTTCACCAATAACCAAATTCCAGCTGCAGAGAAACCAGTGCCCACAATTCCAGGCACCAAACAATACAGTAAAAGAATGAAAAGAAATGAAAAGAAGAAACTAGAATGCTCAAACCAGTTTTATGCAATTCTGCAGTGTGTTTCTTCTTCAAAAGAAAGCAATTTGCCTCAAGAAAGAATTTCAAAGAACTTCACAAAAAACTAGCGTGAATCTTTCTTGAAAGAGTGTTAAAGTTTGCTTGCTTGATTGCTAAAGGATGTGTAAAAGATTGATGTTCAATGTATTTTCAAAATGTTCAAGCCAAACTGTTTTTATAGAAGATTTTCAAAACTGCTAGTTTAATCAATCTGTTAAAATAATCTTTTAATCTGTTAAAAGTCTAGTTTTAATCTGTTAAAACTTCTTTTAATCCATTAAAGCGTTCTTGATTTTTTAACAGATTTGTTTTAACTGATACGACAACGTTTATATCAATTAAAACTCTTTACAAAAAATCTTCTAATTTGTTTTAATCGATTGTTTCGTGATTCAATCGATTAAAATACTACAAAATTTTCTTGTAAAATTTTCAAGTGATTTTAACTGATAAAAATAAGTTTTAATCGATTAAAACGCTGTGTAGAAATTTTCTAAGTTGTTTTAATCGATTGAAACGTGTTTTAATCGATTGAAAAAGCTCTGATCGGTCATAACTCAATTCTGATCGATCATATCTGATTCTGATCGGTCATAATTGCATTCTGATCGATCATCCCGAACATTAAGTGGATTTAATCGATTAAAACCAAGTTGTATCGATTAAAATACTGCAAAAACAATTCTCTTAACATTTTAAGTGATTTTAATCGAGTTATTTCGAAGTTGTATCGGTTAAAATACTTGACGAAGGTTTTCAAAACTTTCTTTAATGAAAACAACCGGTTATTTCGAAATTATATCGGTTAAAAACTTGTTTAAGAAAGCTTTTGTTAAAATACTTTGTTTTTAACCGCTTAAACGTTTTTAGAGGCATTTTGCAAAATCTTTTAAGTGAAGAAACCTCATGCAGCAGAAAAGATAAAAATGATTATACCTAAGCAGAGCTGCGGACACACTAATCTCTCTACTCTTTTATCTAAGTGACTGTTGACTGCTACAAAGCTGACTTTGACTTTATCTTTGACTTTATCAAATCAATAAGATCTTTGCCAGAGTATTTCAATAAAATCTTCATCACTTTCAAGTGGCGGATCTTGACCATTGATCTTGGATGGACCAAATAATACATTATTAATAAATAATAAATAAATATAAAATGAAGTAAGGAGATGAAAGGGTGAAAGGATAAAATTGTAAATATATACTTAAATATATTAAATAATCATTAAGTTTGAGGGGGACAAAATCATAAATCATATGAGAGATAAAATTGTAAATATACAAGTAAATATATTAAATGTTCATTAAATTTGGGGGGCCAAAATCATAAATTACATAGGAGTTACAAAACTTTGGGGGGTCATGACCCCCTCAGCTTCCAAGAAGATCTGTCACTACTTACACCTTTAATTTAAACCATAAGTATAAGAATAATTAGTGTTTAGGATGAACAAGGAGAACACGAGAGAGAAACTTGTGTTTCAGTAAGGAGAATATTTTGTATGAGAGTGAAACTTTTCTAATTCTCTTTTTAAAAATTTTAACTTTATATATTATCTTTATAATTAAATTTATTGTAATAAAAAATTATTTTTATTAATTAGGATGGTCGCAGGTTGGCCCAGTGGGTTGACGGACTTTGACTGAGTGGGTTGGCTAGCTAAAAACACCAACCCGGCCCGCCATATTATGGCAGGCTGGTGGGTCTGACCCCTTTTGTAATCCCTAACTAGAGGACTTATGTTCCAGTATGTTCATAAGTCTCACATCACTTAGGAGTTGAGACTAAGAATAAATTATATATACCTTCCTCTTTCTACCCACCGAGACGTTTTTTAAGAACAAAATCATGACGGATAAGAGCCTAAAGCGAGACAATACCTCAAATAAAAAAATTGATCTTAACCATAATATCGTAATAAAAGAAACAAATATAATTTAATAAATGTATAAAATAAAAAATAATAAAGTTGTTATTATTAATTTTTACTTTAGATAGGAAAAAATGTTATGAAGAATATCACCGTTTTTATCTAATAGAGAAATAAGAGAAAAATAATCAATACCAAAACCATGATCTTTATCTAATAATCAATACCAAAATTGGAGAAAAACAACGACCGTTATCTAATGATAACTAACAAATAAAAATAATCAACACCAAAACCACGATCATTATCTAAAACTATGATCATTATCTAATGATAACCAGAGAATAACACAATGTGAAAATTTTTACAATACATAGGCAATTATCTCATGTCCTTTGACCCCAAATATATTCATACTCTCCAAAATAAGAATTTAACTAAACCGCTCAACATTCCATTACAAGAGTATAAGAAAAATCAAATACATGTTTAAAGTGTCTTTGACTGGGGTGAGAAATATCATAGACTTTAAACTCATCATATAACTGTTATCACCCCCACTTCATTATTTATCCAATGTGATGTGAGACTTTTCAAGATGTATTATTTTCATTAACCTAACAATTATAGTGGACATGAGGTCGGGACATAATCGTTTCTAAATGAAATATTGTTATCTATCGTGGTGTTGATAATAGAGTTTCGCTCCACTCATACATACTTCTTAGTTATCGACTTGAAAACTTATGTTCCGGTATGGTTATAAGTCTCACATAACTTAGGAGTCGAAGCTAAAAATAAATCATATACGTCCTCTTCTTTCTACTCACCAAGATATCTTTTAAAAACAAATTGTGACGGACGAAAACTTAAAACAAACAATATTTCGGACAAAAAAATTGATCTTAAAGATATTATTACAATCCAAACAAATATAATTTAATAAATCTCTAAAATAAAAAATAATGAATTTATGATTATTAATTTTTACTCTCGATATTATTATAATTGAATAATAAATAATTTTAAAATCAATTTAAGTAGGTGAAATATACCTGGATAAAGTTGATAGGTGGCTATTAAAGTTTCTCGTATATCTTTTCCTTATACATTATTTCTGCACATTTTAGGGAGAAAAAACAATAAAAATTATTACTTAATGTACACCCATTTTATCTTTTCCTTATACATTATTTCTGCACATTTTAGGGAGAAAAAACAATAAAAATTAATACTTAATGTACACCCATTTTCCTTTCATCCCCACCATTAGATACCTATAATTCAGCATATTTTATTTTTAATTTAAAATATAAAAGTTTCTTCTCTTTGTTATCTATCTTTTAAGTGGGTGGCTAGTAGATGATGGTAAGATTTTTTTATGAATGCTGGTTCCAAAAGAATATGCCCAAGTGAATAATGATCCCATGCAATAATGGTGGTGTCGTACACATTGAGTGATGGATCTTTTTTTCGGAGTTGAGGGAGGTGGTGACCCTAAAGTTTTGTAAGCTACTCGTGTAATTTATGATTTTAGTCCAAAACATAATGAACATTTAATATATTTACTTATATATTTACAATTTTATCCTCTCAACCCCTCATTAGTTTTGTAACTCTCATATAATTTATGATTTTGTTTCTCTCAAATTTAATGATCATTTAATATATTTAAGTATATATCTAGAATTTTATCTTTTTACCCTTTTATCTTCTTTCTTCTTTTTATATTTATTTATTATTTATTAATAATATATTATTTGATCCCTACAAAATTAATGTTCAACATTCGCCACTTGGACACATCTATCCCTTTTATGATAATTTGGAGGACACAAACACACAATCTATTTTAATATTATAATTATAATTTGTTTGAAGGAAGAAAAAATAGATAGATAAGACTAATTTTTATAAATAATATTTAAACATTCTATCTTTTTCGATGACAAAATCGGTTCATTGAAATGTTTTATTTTTAGTTTGTACGAGACGAATTGGTTGGTTATTGTTAGAATCTATTATAAATTTTAGTTTGTTTGGTTAAAAGATAGATTTATAAGTTATTTGATCAATATATTTTTATATAATATTTTAAAAAAATATATTTAATTATATGAAAATTTTCAAATTATTTATTTATTAATTAATATTTTTATTACATAAATTAAAAATTATTATATTTATATATTAAAATATATAATTATAATTAATAATTTAAATTTAATTGATTAATATATAATTAAAATTATATTATACTTATATATTTTCACATATTTTCAATTAGAATTTTTTTTATATAAACCCGCCGTATGAATAAACTAAATGTAATCTGACAAAATAAACTAACGAATTAATATTGGGATCGGCTAGCAGGGCACCCGTGGTCGTGGCCCACTATATAACCCTGTCACCGTATAAAAATTTAAAATTGAAAAAAATATTTTAACAATTTCTTCTTATAAATAAATATATACATAAAATAATAATATTTTGATTCATTAGAGGAAAAGAATGAAAAAACAATTATGATATATTCACACAGATAAAAGCAATTCTCAATATAACTTAATTTATTAATATAATAAGTATAAAAATAATTAAAAATAATTTTAAATTATTATATTATTATTAAAAGCAGCTGTAGATTGTATATATGAAAAGAAGGTAGTCAAAATAATTTTTTTCCAATAAAAAAATAAATAAATAATGACATAAATTTTTTTTTTGGGATGTAAAAATACCAGCGCTATTTAAAATTTTATCATTTTCTGTCTATCATGTCTATCTATAATTTTCGAACTTTATATAACCCACCCAATTCACACCATTAATAGACAGAAACGGAAAAGGATCAAATGGAAGTTGGACGCAGGTTGTTGGAATGGACTCCAATAGCAGCCATGGTCATGGTTGAGTGCCTTGACGTGAGTCTCTCCATGTTGGGTAAAGCAGCCATGGAGAAAGGAATGAACCACTTCGTCTTTGTTGTCTACTACAGCGCCTTTGCTACCCTCATACTCCTCCCTCTCTCTTTCTTCATCAACAGGTATTTTCTCTCACTTCCAACTTACTCCAACACTCTTTTTACCTTCTTTCTCCTTCAATCACAACTAGTTAGAATCTCATTTTCAACTTCTCAAATCACTAACATGGCCTTAACCTCAACTTTTCAACTTTGCAGAACTACAAGGGCGCCCCTTTCTTTCTCGCTTCTCTGCAAGTTCTTCCTCCTCAGCATTTTTGGGTACGTGTGTATGTGTGTAGTGTATCTAGGTAATTGCATTTCTATCTATTTTTCCCATTCTGTTACTAGGAAACTTAATCGCTTAACAGCAACGTAAGAATGTGTTTGTTGGAATTGTGCAGTATAACTGTCATGCAGAATTGTATTTTCACCGCCATTGACTACAGCTCTCCCACTCTTGGATCCGCTATGATCAATTTGACTCCAGCAATCACTTTTGTGCTAGCGGTCATCCTCGGGTAATCAATTTCCCTCTCTTCTTTTTACTTCTATTTATGTAATAATAACACGATTTAATTAGATGTTATACAAGCACTATCTTTATATACATTAATTCCTACACGAACACTTTTTAATCCATTTATGACTCGAGTTTAATAAAATATATGTTGTTAGTTGTTGCATTTAACATTAGAACTGGAACTAAGATAGCAAAACCACGATATTGAGTTATTTTACTGCCATATTTTAGGATGGAGAAGTTGAATATTGGAAGCTCTATTAGCCAGATCAAGGTCATGGGCACAGTGATATCCATCTCTGGAGCATTACTCGTGACCCTTTACAAGGGCAGTCCCATCACCAGCTTTGGAATTCCACACTCTCCGTCAAAACCATTGTCATCTTTGTTGGCTCAAACCAGTAGTAATTGGGCCATTGGGGGTCTCTTATTTGCCATTGCTTCTCTCTCTCTTGCACTCTGTAATATTACTCAGGTGAGATAGATGCCTAGTTTGGTTAGATATTTAGACCACTAAGTCATATTGGTGCAAAGGTCGTCAATTTTTTTAGTGATGGATCTAATTTGGTTGAACTTGTTTGCAGACAGCAATTCTTAAAGTGGAATACTTTCTCTCATTGTAGTCAGGGATCCAAATGACTGGAAAATAAGCCTCGACATTGAGCTCTTCTCTATAATCTATTCAGTAAGCACGTACTAACAACCAGAAAAACTAAGAAAGCAAGCACACAAATGCAAGTTGCAAACCATTGACGGTTTATTGCTAAACAACATTGCAGGCTATTGTCGGATGTATGGTGACATTTTCAGTAACGACTTGGTGCATAAAAAGGAAAGGACCAGTATTTGTTAGCTTGTTCAAGCCTGTGAGCATTCCCATTGCTGCCTTTTCGAGTGTTCTCTTCCTTGGTGAAACGCTTCATGTTGGCAGGTAACTCCATGTCCAAAGTTTCTTTGCTATGTCATTCCATCTCGATGGGGCTTTGTTAATAAATGTAAAGCTATCGACAATAAAATGAGCTAAGGACTACGGCAAGAACCATAATAGGCTTGGAGATGTTGCAGCTGCCAATTACATTAGCACTCGTTTGTTAGACTGTCTGTTCCAAATTCAGGATAACCAAAACTTTCCATAGTTTTATCTTGCTTTGCTGACAGTACTATTTCTATATTGACTTTGTTTTATGTGTTTTCATTCTTTTAGTGTCCTAGGCGCAGTGATAATCGCCATGGGATTTTACGCAGTAATTTGGGCACAATCCAAAGAGGAAAATGCAGAAGGCCTCCAAGTTGATGGACAAGCATCCCTGTCTTCCAAAGCTAGTCCTCTACTCGAGACAGTTCCGTGAAAAGCAATGTCTTAGCATGACTTTTTTTGGAAAAGAACCATGATATTTTGAAAACCCGAACAACCAATCATCAATATAATATTAATAAAACTTTAAATTTTTATAATTATTATTGTTATATGATTAAATATATAAGTTGTAGGATAGATGATTGAAAAAATTGGGTTATACTTATGCTATTGCTCTAATTTTCACTTACTAGTTCACCTTTATCAATGCATTTGTTAAAAATATCAATAAGTATATATTATTAGAGTTTATTAGAATATATTGAAATTTCTATTTTTATAAGTATTAATGGGGTGATTAAAGTTTTTATAGGTAATTTTACTATAAAATTATTTTCAAATCAATGGATGTAATTATTATATTTTTCAGTTTTATTTGTAATGTATATAAACGTTGTTGACATGAAAAAAATATGTAAGTTCAACCCTAAAATTATGCAAAATCCAATCACAATTTTATTGGTTTTTGAAGGACCTAATGAGATTCGGAGATCTAGCACCCAAACACTATAAAATTTTTAGGATGAAAATTATTATCTATGGACAATCAAAATGGAGCTTTTTCTTGATGCAAAGTGTTATTTGGGAGACTATTGAAAATAATTATGAGGTTGATCTATTAGAAGATAATTCAATTCTCAAATAGAAAATTATAAGAAAATAAAGCAAAGAAAATTATAAGCATAGATTTGTTGACTCGAACTTTTCACTTTCTTTATAAATCTGCTTGTCCAAGCTAATTCAAATATTTATTAATAATAAAATATTTATCAATTTATTAATTGTAATACTAAATTAAAATTTAATGCTAATATTATATAATATATTAATTTCTTATTTACATCTATATAAATGATTTACAATTGACGTATCATTCTATAAAAGATGTTACAAACATTACAAAAGAACCCTGATATTGGATTATTTGGCTTCCTTAATGAAGTTGTAGGGTAGAGAAGTTGAATATTAGAAGCTCATTAGTGATGGCCACAGTCCTGTCCATATCAGAACCATGGATAAGGGTTACAGTCTCTTTACATAAAAATTATTATAAATAAATTTTATAATAATTAAAATAAAATTTATATTTATATTATTTAAAAAATAATTTATAATAAATATTTTAAAATATTGATATTTATATCATTAAAAAATATTAACTATTAAAAATCCTCCATAATATATTTATATTCTCATTTTTATTAATATTTTATTGTTATATAAATTTCACTCTTTATTATTATTTATTATAGTTTGACAATTAAAAATCAACATAAAATATATAATATTTTATAATTAATTAAAATTTATTAAAGTAAAAAATCATCAAAAATTATTTAAATATTATTTTTTAATTATTTTATTAATGAGTCAAAATTTTAACCATTATTTACAATTTTTTTAATAATTTTATAATTTATCATTAAATAACTTATTTTATTTAAAATTATTTTTAAAAATTATGATAATTAAAAGATAAATACAAGATATTAAACTTTTTGCAAGTAATTAATAATATAAGTCTATGTAACACAAAAAATATGTGTAATGTCAAACTCTATATTAAATAATTCTAGTAGTATAGATAAATCTTGTTCACTCTCTTTATCTACACAAATATTAAATTTTCATACAAATATTTAATAATATAATTTCATTTAATACAATTCATGTAAATGATAAAATGACACGCAAATACCTTGTATAGCAAAATAAGAAAATATGCAATGCTAATTAGTCATTCTTTTTTTCAAGTATTTGACAATCACAAATATCCTATAACACATAAATGAATTCATAATGAAAATGTAAGATAAAATTAGAAGATAGAAATAAGGGAATATATATTTTAATTAATAACTTTTTTCCTAAGTATTTGACTATTATAAGTAACCTATAATATATATATATATATATATATATATATATATATATATATATATTACATTTAAAATATAAATGTAGATCAAACTAGAAGGTTGAAATAATTAAACACACTGAAAATTTCCTTCAAATGATTCTCATCTATATTTCTATTGAGCTTTTTTACATGAAGGATAAGTGATTCTAAAAGGTTTCTTAAGTTCAAACATAAAAGATAAATACAGAGGATAAAAATACAAATAACAAAAGTTAAGAAAGATGTGAATATATTTAGTTTTAAAAGATCACTTTAGAGCATGTTGAATAGTATTTAAAATCATGAAATGAAACATCAATATTTAAATAAATAATCATTATTATGATTATTTTATTGATATAATATAGATAAAAGAAACATTAAATTATAACTACAAGAGATAAATAATAGATTTATTTTCTCATTAATAATTTGTACCTTATTAAGTTGCTAATAATATACCATGACAAGAAATACATTCCAACCTTATATAACATATATTGAAATAACAACTTTAAATCACCAATGTAACATATCCATAAACTATCACAAAGTAAAATCAAATACCTTAAAGGAGGTAAAACTTTCTTTCATTAAGGTGAAGGAGATCCTCTTCATCTTATATTTGATCAAGTTTCAAAATTATTAGAGATTACAGATGATCATTTTCCCATGCAAAATATCTCTATCAAGTTTCAAAAACTAACATACCTGACAAACTTCATCTCCATATTTTACTAATAATTGAACCTCTTGGAAAACATAAACAAAATCGCAGGCTCAACCATGGAAGCTACCTATCAAAACCCATGAAATATGCAAAATCTCATCCTACATGTTCAACATACCATCCTATCCATCCAATAACAGAGAAATAAAATGATTTTTAGAAAAGTTAAACCTCAAACAACAAAATCAACTAGAATATAGACTAATGGTGTGTCCTTTTGTGCAAAAACTAGATAAAAGTCAATTTAAAGTGAGAACGAAAACGTGACCAAAATCAGTAAAACATAAATGTAAAACAAAATAAATGTGCAGAATAAAACGAAAATACCAAAGTGAAAGTGGAAAAAAAATGTAAAAAGAAATATAAACACAAAACATGAAATGAACATAATGGACTAGAAAAAAAAATATTAAAATAAGTAAAAGGATAAAGCGGATTCAGTAAAAGGATAAAGAGGTGCGTGGAGAAGTTTTATAACTTCCTGATAGAGTCCATTGGCTCGTTTGTACTTACTTAAGTCAAGATTGACTTGGGTGTTCAGTGTAAAAAAATACAGGATTTCAATATATGAAATAATACAGATAGAAACGAGGGAGAGTAGATGATGTGGAGGAAAAACGAATTAGAGAAAAATTACTTCAATATTGAGACTAAAATGATGAAAGATTTTTATACTTTATTAGTTAAATGAACAATAACATAAATGAAAATTGAATAAAATGAATAGAAGAATTAATAATAAAAAAAATTAAGGGTTGTAAGTTTAAATGATTATAAAATGAAATAAATTTAGTTAATGTTTTTAATTAAAAAAACTAAACCAGCTATAATCAATGAAATATTATACCAAATTTTAAATTAAAAATTGTAGCGGTTACAAAATTTTCATATAATTATATTTTTTCATTGTTTATAAATTTTTTAAAAATAAATCTCTCTTAATTTATTAATTTTTTTATAAGTAAATATTTTAAGGTTTTGAATAAAAAATAATATTATATTTTATTTTACTGAATGACATTTTGTGTTTATTCTTTAAGATAGTTTCAATTGTTGATTGTCTAGAAAGAAAAACCGACTCTCATGCACCTTTGGAATATTACTCAAGTGAGATTCCTTTGACTACTAATTCTTTAATCATGGATCTTAATTTCTTTTGCAGTCAATAATTCCTGGATGTAGATGACCTAACATATCCTATTTCTGTCAAGTCAAAAATAGGATGGAATGATTGATTTATAAAGTTATATGAGTTTTTCGGGTTTTATATAAAATTATATATATTTAATTATATAGTTAATTTTTAATTTTTAATTTTTTATTTTTTATTTAATATTTTTATTAAATAAATTAAAAATTATTATATTTATATATTAAAATGAATAATTATAATCAATAATTTAAATTTAATTAATTAAATTTTATAATTAAAATTATAATATTATAATATATATATATATATATATTAATAATATAATAAAAAATATAATATTTTTAATTATAATCTTTTATATTTTTATTTTTATATATAATTTTTTTTTAAATGGATCAATCAACTAACTCCTACATCATATAAACAGAATGAGTTAATAATGGATTAAAAACACCCTCTCATCTTATCATTTTTAAAATAAACTAGGGGTCACAACTACATAACCTAATCCAATTGTTCGTATAGTTAACAATGCCTCTTTGAACCATCCAAATTGCAATACTTCTTTTCATGGAAGTGGTTTTTTTTTTTTTTTATAAAATTGGGTTAAAGATGTTTACATGAATGGGTGAATTTTTAAAATACTGTAGAGGATGATGAAGTCGTGTAACGTTGTACGATTTTGTGATGAAAAAAAATTATATAATGTGAGATAACTTTAAATAAACAAAGAAGAAATTAAATGGCCAACAACTAATTCGGTTCAATTATGTTTTTGCTTATATAACCTTCAATTTCATAGTATTATCACCCTTTGAGTTTGTAGAAAATATACAAGAAAAACAATTTATACCTATTTCTCTTGAATGTGTGGTTGACTATGCTCCACATGAATGATTCATACAAAAAGCAAAGAATCCAAGATATTTATTTTTAAGAACCAATCACAATGCTCTATGGTACTCTGGCAGAAATGTACCCTTCCATCCTACTTGGATTTCTCCACAGTTTTATTTATTTTTATTAAGTATCCATTGACTTTTATATTATTGAATTAAGTGTCATTCTAATAAACTTCTTATTTCTAACATAGTATTAATTACTTCTTTTATAATTTATGATTTGTATCATTTTTTTTTCAATTTAAACAGTTCCACAGTCTTGAAAAATGTATTCAATAAAGAGTGAAATAATTATAATAATTCTTGGTATATTAATTTTGTAAAAGTATATTAAGAAAAATGAACTAATAATATATTGTGAAATGAAAACATCACTTATTTGAAGACAAATTGTAAAACTATAGATAAATTGGAATTGAAATAGTATAATTTTAGTCAATTAAATGTATAATTAAAGAAGTTGTCTAATATTATTAAATATCATTACACTAATATTTAATATTAATAAAAATTAAAATAAATTATATTTTATAGTGTAGAAACAAAATAAAAACTTTATAAAGTTAGGAATAAAACAAATGACGATTTCAATCTTTTATAGGAAAGTGGGGATTTACTCTGAAAAATAATATATATACGAACCCGTACGAATTTATTTCTAACTATTTATTTAAAATAAAAAAATATCGTCTTCATATATAAGTTTTGGTATTCTTATAAGGATTTTTAATGTTTGATCTATGTTAGGTTATTTAGCTTGTAATGAAGTTTAAAATAAATATTTATAATTAATTAAACATTAACTACTATTAGTATATAATATAGTAAGTTAATATTACCTAATTTAATAATATTGATAGAATATATGTATATATAATTCAATAAATGCATAAATTTAAATTCAATAAATTAGATCAATTTAATTAGGTGAAATATAATCGAATAGAGTTGAATGGTGGTTTGTAAAGTTGGCCATTTTGTTATATATTTGCTATCTACATTTTGTTTTCCATTCCAAATGTTCTTTTCCTTGTACATTTTCCGCACATTTTGGAGAGAAAATGATTTGCACATGTGAGTGATAATTTCTGGAAATAATGGTGGTGTGGTACAGAGATCCTATTTGAAGATCTTGTATAAAAACCGACCCAATTCACAACATTTAGACAGACTGAAAAGGATCAAATGGGGGTTGGAAACAGGTTGTTGGAATGGACTCCAATAGCAGCCATGGTCATGGTTGAGTGCTTTGACGTGGGTCTCTCCACTATAGGTAAAGCAGCCATAGAGAGAGGAATGAACCACTTCGTCTTCGTTGTCTACTCCAACGCCCTTGCTACCCTCATACTCCTCCCTCTCACTTTTTTCATCAACAGGTATTCTCTCTCTCTCTCTCTCTTTCAACTTACTCTTTTTACCTTCTTTCTAAGCTCCTTCAATCACAACTTTAACATCATTTACAAAGTTATAATCTCATCTTCAACTTTTCAAATCATTAACATTACCTTAGCTTCAACTTTTCAACTTTGCAGAGCTACAAGAGCGTCCCTTTCTTTCTCGCTTCTCTGCAAGTTCTTTCTCCTCGGCATTCTAGGGTATGTATGTGTGTGTAGTGTATATCTATGTAATAACATTTCTAACTATTTTTTTCATTCTTTTACTCGGGAACTCAATCGCTTGACAAAAATGTAAGAATGTTGTTTATTGGAGATGTGCAGTATAACTGTCATGCAGAATTGTGTTTTCACGGCCATTGACTACAGCTCTCCCACTCTTGGATCCGCTATGAGCAATTTGACTCCAGCAATCACTTTTGTGCTAGCGGTCATCCTCGGGTAATCAATTTCCCTCTCTTCTTTTTACTTCTATTTATGTAATAGTAACACAATTTAATTAGATGTAATACATGCACTATCTTTATAGGTTATTAATTCCTGCACGAACACTTTTTAATCCATTTTAGTCCCAGTGTTTCAAAATTGTAAGAACCCAAACAGATTAAAATTTGTTCCAATAGAAAGTGAATCGTTTTTTGGTGTAGAGACTCTAAATTAATGTGAAAATTGGAGTGTGTAAGATTAAACGAGTAGAGTTATATCTAAATATATATAAATTGGGTGTTTTTCAGAACGGATTACATTGTACGACATTGTTTATAATTGTATTTATGACTCGAGTTTAATAAAATATATGTTGTTAGTTGTTGCATTTAATATTAGAACTGGAACTAAGATAGCAAAACCACGACATGGGGTTATTTTACTGCCCTATTCTAGGATGGAGAAGTTGAATGTTGGAAGCTCTATCAGCCAGATCAAGGTCATGGGCACAGTGCTATCCATCTCTGGAGCATTACTCGTGACCTTTTACAAGGGCAGTGCCATCACCAGCTTTCGAATTGCACACTCTCTGTCACAACCATTGCCATCTTTGTTGGCTCAAACCAGTAACTGGGCCATTGGGGGCCTCTTCTTTGCCGCTGCTTCCATCTCTCTTGCACTCTGTAATATTACTCAGGTGAGATCGATGGCTAGTTTGGTTAGATATTTAGACCACTAAGTCATATTGGTGCAAAGGTCTTCAATTTTATTTTAGTGATGGATCTGATTTGGTTGAACTTGTTTGCAGGCAGCAATTCTTAAAGGATATTATTCATCACAGTCAACCATAGTAGCCTTCTATTGCCTGTTTGGAACTGTCCAAAGTGCAATACTTGCTTTCATTGTAGTCAGGGATCCAAATGACTGGAAAATAAGCCTCGACATTGAGCTCATCTCTATAATCTATTCAGTAAGCACGTACTAACTAACAAACAGAAAAACTAAGGAAGCAAGCACACAAATACAAGTTGCAAACCATTGACGGTTTATTGCTAAACAATATTGCAGGCTATTGTCGGAAGTATTCTGACATTTTCAGTAATGACTTGGTGCATAAAAAGGAAAGGACCTGTATTTGTTAGCTTGTTCAAGCCTGTGAGCATCGCCATTGCAGCCTTTTCGAGTGTTCTCTTCCTCGGTGAAACGCTTCATGTCGGCAGGTAACTCTCATACGGCCAAAATTTCTTTGCCATGTCATTCCATCTCGATGGGGCTTTGTTAATCAGCCAATTACATTAGCACTCTTTTTGTTGACTGTCTGTTCCAAATTCAGGATAACCAAAACTTTCCATAGTTTTATGTTGCTTTGCTGACAGTACTATTTCTATATTGACTTTGTTTTATGTGCTTTCATTCTTTCAGTGTCCTAGGCGCAGTGATAATCGCCATCGGATTTTACGCAGTAATTTGGGCACAATCCAAAGAGGCAAATGCAAAAGACCTCCAAATTGATGGACAATCATCCCCATCTTCCCAGGCGAGTCCTCTACTGCAGACAGTCCCGTGAAGGCAATGTTTTAGCATAACTTTTTACTCGTGTATATCTGGTTCACCTTTATCAATAAAAGAGCTAACGCGCTTGACTTGACTTGACCAAGGCTTTCCCCTACCCCTACCCCCTATCAGAAGGAAGGTAGGGGGTAGGTAGGGGGTAGGTAGGGGTAGGGGCTCGTTAGCCGTTGTTTGGGTCGAGATTTCTTGAAAATATAAGTAAGTGTCTATTATAGTTTATTCCAGTTTATTCCCTCACTGTTGAAATTCTATTGTTATTATATTGTATTTAAAAGATGTCAATATGAATAAAAATATGTCAACAGTTTTCAATTCTAAAAATATTGTGCAATCCAATAATTGGTAATAAGAGTTTTATTAGTCCTGGAGCTACCTATTGAGATTGAGAGTTCTATCAAATATCTAAGTACATTGAGTGTTGAAAATGCATTCTCAATATCAAGTTTTACATTACAATTTTTAGGGTAAAAATTATAACTTAAACGGTGAAAATTGATGTTTTAAATTTTATGCGAACTATCTTTGAGAGACGGTTGGGAAGGATTATGAGTTAATCCATAACCAGGTAATTCGACACTAAATCAAATAAAAATCACAAGAAAAAAAAGGTACAAAAATCACAAAGAAAGAAAGTTAGAAAAAAAAAATCAACGACAAAATTTGCTGCTTCTATTTTTTTTTTTTTCTCAACAAACTCTACCACAATAGTGAATCTAAAATGAGTATAGACTATCTATAATTTTTTTCCAAAAAAAAAAAAGGAAATGAGAATTAAAGGGATGCAACTGTTGAATTTAATAAGAGAGTTTAAGATGCAATTGGGACAAATTTTTCCTATACAATGATAATGGAAAAATTCCTGAACGGTTCTTCAGTCCACTATTTCCTCTTAAAAAAATTAAAATATTTATCAAATATTACTTTCACAACATTGTTGTATGATTTACAAGTATAAGAACAAAGAGACTTGTGAGAGAATATATGATTGAAGGTGTTTTATAAGTCAATAAGAAACTTGGTTAAAAAAAAAAAAACACTCTCAACAAATAACAACTTTGTTTTAGAAGAAAGTGTTAAAAGGTAACAGAGGAGAAGAAAATACGAAGTTAAATCAGTGTCCATGTTTCGATAGAAGAATCATCCTTATTTTAGATGATGGAAGAGACTCAATATACACTGCAGCAATCGTAATCAGCTTGGTCATGTTGCGCAATTCTGCATTAACAAAATACAATCCCAAACTGAGTCTCAAGTGAATGATCACAAAAAGAGAAAAAAAGACAAATAATTATTTATAATAACTTGTTTTGTCATCAACAACAATAATGAAAGTTGGTTGATTAACATACATACATCCTATAATTTATGATGAAGAATTATTTAAGGAGTTCAATAGAATAATTATTTAAAAAATGAGACTTAAAAATGAAAAGTGTCGACTTAAAAAAGATCAAGAGACTTATTATAATTAAAAATTACTCATATATAAAAAAGAAAATCAATAATGTACTTTATATAAAGGATATTAATCAAGATGTGTTGAAAATGTTAGTCAATTTCTTAACAAAATGCTACAACGTATTGTTTGATTTACGCCTAATTAAACTAATTAAGCTTTAGGAGAAAAATGAATTAAAGAAACTTTCTAATTTTTCGTTTAAAGAACAAGATGAAAATGTTGATGATCCATGTTAAAGGAATTAAATTACTTTAATATATATGAAAGGTATAATGTTGTGTTAGAATCTGCAAATTTTGTTGAAATAAAAAATATTTAAAGTGTTGGAAAGTGTAAAAAGAGCTTAGCATAAGTAAAGAAAATCAAATTTAGGAATTGGTTCCTACACACGAACACAAAAATGTTATTAGTTTAAAGTGTTGGAAAGTGTAAAAAGAGCTTTACTTATATTTAGGATTTGGTTCCTACACAAAAATGTTATTAGTGTTAAATGTGTTTGTTGCACATGGTTTCATTAATTAGTAATAATAAGAATTTTTCTTTAAAGTTTTGTGTACATGTATTTATTTTATATATGAAATATATTTGATATAGACATGTGTATCTATTTTATTGATGTACTCTATGTAAAGATAAAAATATGATAAAATGTCAAATATTAATAATATTTTAATTATAATTGTCTGAATCAAAATAATAATCTAATATTTTCTTATTCTTCTCTTAAAAAATAATAAAAAAATTTAATACATAATTTAAATAAAAGATAATAAAGTAATATTTTCAACATTCATCTTTATTTTTAATATCTATTTATTTGAATTTGAATATTCTTTCTTTTTATTCTTGTTTTCTTCCTCTCTTTTGCTTGGAATTTATGTCATTCTTTTTCTTTATGAGATCATCACTTTATTCAATCTTAATTTATTATTGCAATCATGTTTTTATTTACAATTATGTGAAAACAATCTTTCTTCTCATCATGATTCTCTTTCTTGTATAAGATCATTATTTCATTCAATCTTAATTTTTTTAATCATCTGGTCATATTTTTCTTTTACAATCATGTTATTCTGATTAAGACCTAACATATTAGAATTTACTTTTTCTATCTTTCATTGATCTTTTCTTCACATGTAATGTGAAGAAGATATTTTCTTCTCAACCCATTTTGTCATGGTAGGATTTTCGAGATAGCGGATTAATGATGTAATATTCTTTCACAACTTCTTATATATTCAATCCTTCAATATAAGATTACATTCTTACAGTTCATAGGTCATTAAAAATTAGAATAGTAATTTTCATTCTTCTTATAAGAACCAAAGTTCTAATAACTTTGATACCATTGATGAAAATTTATTTAAAGGTTTTGTGTATGTGTATTTATGATATATAAAATATATCTCATATGGGTACGAGTATATATTTCACTCATGTACTCTATTTATATATAAAGTAAAAATATGACAAAATATCAAATATTAATAATATATCAATCGTAATTGTCTAAATCAAAATAATAAATTAATATCTTTTCAGTATTTTTTTAAAAGATAATAAAATATCTTAATACCTAATTTAAATAAAATATTATTAAAATAAAATAAAATCTATTAAATAAAATATAAAAAAAATAATATTATCATGTAAAGCTGGTTCTAAAAAGTATTTGAAATTAATTTCTCTAAAAACTTAATTATTCATGTAAGAAAGAGACTTGAAAATATGAATCAATATTTATCATTAGAGTTTGTTATTATAATTTATTAAAATATTATTAAATTTCTATTATTATAAGTTTTAATTATAAACATTAATGCACTTTTAAAAATTTTATGAATCATTTTAATATTAACGTGATGGGCACGGTGCTGTCCTTCTCAGGGGCAATAGTCGTGACCCTTTACAACGGCAGCCCATAAGCAACTTTCGAATTCAACCTTCTCCATCACGACCACTCTCATCTTTATTGGCTCAAGCCAGTAACTGGGTCATAGGGGTCTCTTGCACCCTGGAATATTACTCAGGTGTGATTTAGACCACTAATTCTTCAATTTTAGTGATGGATCTTGATTTGGTTAAGCTTTTCTGCAGCCAATATTCATCTCATCGCAGTCCAAGAGCCTAACGCCTGTAAAATAAGGTCTGAGATTGAGATCATTTCTATTCTGTATTCACGTAATAGAAACCATTACAAAAACAAGTTGTAAAATGAGGAGGGGTTTATTTGTAAGCTCATTCCTTGTATGTGGAGAACAATATTGCAGGCTATTGTGGGAACAGTGGTGACATCTATGACTTGGTGCATAAAAAGAAAAGGACCTGTATTTGTTAGCTTAGCTTGTTCGAACGAACCTGTGGGGATTGCCATTGCTTCCTTTTCCAGTGTTTTCTTCCTTGGCGAAACACTTCATGTTGGCAGGTAACTCTCATTTTCACATGAACATGAACATGTAGTATTTTCAAAAACTTAAATAATGAATGTATATGGTTATTTCTATTTTTTAATAGGTAGAAATAGATTAAGGAAAAAATTGATTCACAACCATCTTTCTCCAAATACCTATTACACAACTTTATTTAATAATATAATATTACTTTTTAATTATTTTTATTCATCCATGATTATTATTATTATAATAATATATAGATATTTTTTTGTTTGAAAAAAAAATTCAATAGCTGTATAATTTCACTAAAACATAATTATATATTTATATAATAGTAAATATTTATTTTATGGTTAAAAGTTACTATATTTATTTGAAAAACGGGTTGCATACAAAAAACATATAATTGCAACTAAATTTAATTGCTCTGGACAAAGTATCCGCCCAGGAAAATAAATATTTTGATGCAAGAAACGTGTGAAGTGTTAAATAATAGTCCAACCCCAATCGAAAGCGTGAGCTTTGGATGCTTCCTATTGACTTTAGAGCATTTCCATGCTTTAGTATGATTGGCTTAGTGATAATTTGCCATCGGATTTTATCCCGTATTGTGGGCACAATCAACAGAGGAAAACTTGAAAGCAATTTTTCAGTGTAACCATTTACCAGTGTTTACCTTCATCTTTGCCAATTTATTAAAGACATGATTGAAGATGCAGAAACTAATATTTGCTTCTCAGGATGTCGATCAACTTTGGAAGAAAAATCAAACATGCACAATATTTTTTGAAACTTCGCCACCAATATCTAGTTTCTATTTTGCGATGCCTGCTCTGTTATATATCACATTGGTGAAAGTAATGGACTCTTTACATTGCTAAGTTCCCTCAAAATTTGAGAAAGGCCAAAGTATCAGAAGATAATGAATTTTAACGTAAATCCTGCTTACCCTATCTCTCATCCCTTTCAAAATCCAGAACCATGAGGGTCCCCCGTATTAGCACTTGAATCACACACAATCACACACAACTCCCACTGCTATGTAGGGAAATACTCACTAAAAGTTAGGTCAATCCTACACATCTGCATCATTGTAACCACATAATGTGTATAATGACTTGAGATCACGACGCAGAATCTACCGCATTGTAATCCAGATCATGATGCAGAATCTACAACATCAAGACTTCAGATCATCAGACGTAGCTGATGGAATACAGTGTGTCGCAAGAATATCAAGAGTAGCTGCTTTTGCAGTCTTTGAGCGAAGCACCACTATCTGCATATAAAAGAGGATTTGTTAGTTATATAGCTACTCCCGTTTTCATACAAGCACATAAAACGGGGAAGGAAGGCTAGGGCACCTGATCATAATCTAGATCAAATTTTAGATATTCATCTTCGCAGCTCTCTACCATAGTGGCCAAGCTCTTCAGGTTTTTCACTGGTTTACCATTGAAAGCAAGGACCTACATAGATATACAGAATAAAAAGCGGTAAACAATTGAGTGGTTAAGCCAATACAGCTGTTTGAAAGGAAAGCAAAACGATGGAACATAACCATTAACAACCTGAATGTTAACAATATCTTCATATCCAATGTTGATATCAGCCACAAGCACCTTTAAAGTGTCAAAAGAGATAATCAAACTTTCGTAAGACCCCCTTAGCACAAAAAAAAAAAGACGGACAGAAAGCATACCTGAGAGACCACGACAAGTTGTTCATCCGGTGATTGTGGCATTGAATGCAGCAGTTTATCCAAAAGCTTGACTGGAGCTTCATATTCATAATCCTTTCCATACTGTCCATACATGATAAAATGAATTGTAAAAGAATGGCTCCATCCACAGCAAAGTAAGCAAATGCATGTTCAATAAATGAATTTACTAGCCAGTGCCAAAAGTGATGTAAATAATAAAAGGTACAAGGTGCAACATACGGTCTCGTGAAATGAAACTTTAGAGTTAAACCTATGTAATTATAATTTCAAAACCTTACATATCACTATTATAGAAATAAATACATAACTTTCTATTGCAAATAATCACCAGCTCCAACTTTTACACAGCACCACATCCCTTGCACAGAAACTACTACACGTTATAACGGCCTTCTCAATGCACCTTGTGGCATGACATATACTTCCATATTGCTAGGAAAGCTGAACCACATTTTATTCAGCTTACCATTATTAAAGTTGTTAAATAATTTTAATCTAAGCAACCCAATGTTCTCATCATTCATGATATTGAGTTTCATGCAGCAATAATGAATATTTTCCACTTAGGCATAGATGTACCACAAGTTCAAATTATTATATCAGATTAAGTTTGTCCAGAACACAGAAGTACTAAACATTCACTTGGAGAAAGAAACTTTGCAAGAGCATCCATATCAATTCAACAATAGTAAAACTAACAGCATCACCCAAGACACCCAATAGCTGAACTATTAAAGTATAGAGATATTGGTTAACCACAGACCTCAGAACGAAGATATGGAACTGAAACAGTTGTGAAAACAAATCCAGCAATTATATAATATGACGGAGGCTTGCCCTTGCTGTGTGATGGAATAAGCCTTCTATGACTATCGAGTTTAATGTCATACTCGAAAATGTCTGTGTTTCGAAGCACTTTGATTGCTGCATTATCTCCAGTGTATTTCTGTGAGATGAGATAACTGAAACCAATGCGCTCCCCATGACGAAATGGAACTGAAAAGAACACCCAAGACCAGGAGATTAAAACATTATGAACAGTTATACTCAAATCTTTCATATATTATATATTGGCCATAGGAAAGATGGCTAATTATGTTAGGTCATAATTATTGCTACCTAAAAGTGAACAAACACAGAAAAACAATGCACCAATATAGACAGTGACGTTATAGCCAAAGAGCATAATATTATATCTAGAATTGATCCAGTAATGTACTACGACTAGTGAGAGATGGCAAAGTTTTGTTTCTACTGGTTTTATCTAAATTGAAATCAGCAGCATAAAACCTTAAACCACAAAAAAATGCTAATCCCAAAAGTGGACAGATCTAGAGAGAAATAGACTCCATCAATTCTATACAAAATTGAGTTGTGGCATTCTTTAAAAAACAAGTTCATATGTTTTAAGTTCTTTTCACAAGAGACACTTTTGTCATAAAACCAATAATTTATGTAAATGACAAAAATCTGAAGAGCTGAGTGTGACATGTTTAGTTCAACTAATGCTACGATTGTTCTAAAAGAGGTCAAATTTTTAATAAAACTACCTTCTGTATCAGAGTTTCCATCAAATAAGAAATGATAGTTTCACTCAAAAGACTTTTTAGTTTTTAACAAAGTGCACCTAAACAAATATAAGCTACATCCTGAGCATAATGTATAAAGAAACTTAAACATAACCACTCACCTGTTCCATCATTGGCAATATCAATCCCATCAAAACTAAGGATCACATCTGATGGCTTCAAAAACTTAGATTCTGAAGCAGTAGGGTCAATTCTTCTAATGCGCACACCTTTCTGGTCAGGTTTCATGCCTGTTGCCATTCGCAGATCAGGATTTTCCATTTTCTGCCACTCAACCCCAAGAATAGGGAACCCTAATAACAGATTAAGTAAGAAAGATATGAGTATATAAAGCTTCAAGTCTTGAAAAAATTACCAAACTCAGGTAGCATCTTGTAATAGTGAAATCTACATCTTAGTTTGTAGCTACCATATTACCGGTATATCCTCCATTCTTCTCATAATCCTGGATGAAATGCATGATAACTGGTGTTGGAATGACATAACCTATATTCTCCGCATCTTCATGCTTAAGGGACTGAAATGCAACCCCCACACAGTTTCCTTTACCGTTAAATGCAGGTCCACCAGAATTGCCAGAATTTATAGCAGCATCTATCTGCAAAAAACAAGGGGATATCAGGCTTCATTAAATAAATCATAACTAAGGGTAAATTTAGATTTTAGGCTATACTACTTAATTAACTGTTAATTCAGCAAGTTCCAATCATTAGCTAAAAAGAACTTATTATGATAACTACAACAAGAAACTTATAGTGATTGGGTCAAATGAGCTTGTGAGAATCCTACGCTATTTCCTAAGCCCAAACAAGCTCCCAGTAAGCTCTTTCAAACAGACATTAAATGATAACGATGGAAAACTAATCATTTCAACCTAACCTGTAAACCTAAAAGCTCTGTAGAACCATGAACATAAGATAGAATCTCAATGCGCGATACAACACCACTGGTCACAGAGATAGTGTCTCCACCAATTGGGTAGCCTACAACAGTAACCGCATCTTGAAGTGCAGGCAATTCCCCAAACTCTACAGGTGACATACCTTGCCAGAACTCATCATCATCCACTGTAAGCATGGCTGCAGTGTAAAATCAAATGCATTAATTTGAACTCATTAGAAAATATAGCCACAAGGCACCTTGGTAATATTTTAGAGTCCTTGGGTCAACAAATAGTTACTTTTGCAAAATATATGTGAATACATATACTTTAATATCATTCATTTAATAATAAGTATGTGCACAAACAAATATATGCAGGCTCCCTTCACTTATTCACGGTTATTGTGTTATGATTTTTTTTTTTATTTTCATATGTACCCCTCTTTCGCAGGGGACTAGTCTTTCTGCTAGACTCAATTCCCATCCGTTATTGTTCTATGATTCAACTCCTCCATTTCATCTTTTTATCACATTCAAAACTACAAGTAAATCGAAAATGCTAAATGATTTTGTGAACACACACAAAAGTAAATTTCTATGGGGGAGTCCTGGGGTAGCAGTAAAGCGGTGCTCTCCTATAGCTGGTTGGTCTTGGACTCCACTCTGGTAACAATCTCTTTTGCATATGCAAGGGGAAAGTTGCATAAAACAACGTTTCTTAAACAAAAGTTATAACTTCTCTCTTCCAACAACTTCTCTATCTTCTATCTACACCTATCTCCTTCTTGATAGGTTAAAAATACACTCCTGGTCCTTTTTCAAACACAACACTTTTAATCAAATAGCATTGCTGAAAGTAAAGATGATTCACTTTTCTCTATTGGATGTCTAATTCCGAAAAACTACGATGCACTATTCTCAGACAAGAAGACAACCCAGTATCTTGAATCACAAAGCCAAAACTTTATTTTCTGTCCAATCTAAATAGAAGTTTAAATTTGACATCCATAAAAATAACTGTAAAGGCAACTAATAGATAAATGAAACAAGATAAGAAAGAGAGACAGAGTGAGGGTCAGGAGTTAGTTACCAATGTCACATTCGGTTCCGATGGCAAGAACAGTGGCCACGTACTTGGTATCAGAGCCACGTTTCTTGAGCTTGACTTGTGTATAGTGTTCCACCGAATGCGCATTCGTCAGAACCCTTCTCCCGCTAATCACAAACCCGCTACTACTCGAGCTGTACTGTCTCTTCCGCTGCCACGGCAGCGAGAAATTCGGTTCCGTATGGACACAGAACACCTTCACCACAGAATCCATCGCCGGGAGCACCCGCGCCTCCCATGCCCGGTCCGTCTCCATCGCCATCAAGGTAGGCACCCCGACGTCGACAGGAACCGATAACTCTCCGCCGCCATTGTCGATGGTACGGGTAGCGCGACGCCCCGTGGCTAGAGAGAGAGGCTTGTCGGACTGGGTGGGGATCTTCTTGGGGCGGCCACGGCCGCGGCGGACGTGGGTAGAGGCGGTCTTGTCGATGAGGTCGACGCTGCTGACGGAGAAGGGGTCATCCATTGAGGTGGGGGTGGCGTTGGAGTTAGGGGCGGCAGCTGGGCCGGTGGAGGTGGCGGGGGCAGGGGAGGGGGAGGCGGTGGGTGACGGGGAGGGGACTAGGGTTTCGGGGGCGGGGTTTTTGGGTTTGCGACCTCTCTTTCGTTTGTCACCTCCCATTTGTATTTGGGAGGTGTTCTTTGTTAAGAAATATGGTGTGAATTTGTGCGCAGAGAGAAGCAAGAAAGAAAGCAGAACAAAGACAATGAAAGCGGAGGAGGGAATTCAAATCAAACCAAACTTACTTTTATTCCGGTCTTTGTACCATTTCGATTTTTCCGATAATTCTCTGTTACTAATTTACTATTTACTTTTCTTTTTGTCTTTTCTTGAAATTGCATTGTTCAGTTATTATTTACCTAACTGGTAACACGTGTCAGTAAATTATATATAAATGTAATCAACAACTTCTTTCAAAATTTACAGTGCCTTAAAAGAGTTCAGAAAATTTTGTAATTAATGAGCTTTAAATAGTTGTTTTAAATGTGTAATTTAAATTTTAAAAATGAAAATTCTATATCTTAATAATATGATTATTCAATTTAAACTATATTTGTTAATAAATTTTATGTGAGTTGTCTGTTCTCTTAAAAAAAATAGAAATTTATAATATCACATTTTTAAGAATTCACTTTTTAGTTATTTTATTATAAATTTTCTTAATAAATTTTTAAAAAACCATTTTTTTAATTTAAAAAAAACTAATAAATTATTTAAACATATTAATAAATATGAGATTTTTTTAATTATCTGATGAATTTAAATATTTGCAGCCAAACAGATATAAATATATATGTTTTTTCAATTTTAAAATTTAATTTACTATATAAACGAAATAATTTTAATAAACATTTTCACACAAATAAATCATTCATATTTATATATTTCACCAGGATAATATCTTTACCCAAACCATTCCATGCATTCGCACCTAAATTATTGTCCTGGTTAAGAAAATAAATAAAAGTAATGTTTTAATCACATTTATCTCGAATTTTTATTAATTGTTATAATGAAAATATTATTTTTGAAGGTAATAGAATTTATTTACGATTATATTAATTATTTATAACTTTTAGTATATGTGAACACCGATTGACAAAAATTAGAAAACTTATTTTTATAATAAAAATATTTTATAATTATATATTAAAATATATTATTAAAAAAATAAGATATTAATTTTCAAAAATATTGTATTAATAACAAATCAATTAATGATTATATGAATGGTTTTGTAATTAAACAATATTTAATTCTAACTTAATTATTTATTATTTTTTAAATTAATATATTCTTTATTTTGATGTCATTTTTCTATTAACTAAATAATATTATTTTTTATTCTAATTTATTTTTCTTTTATTCCTTTTTATTTCTTTTATTTATTTTTTCTTTATTAGTATTTATTTGTTAACGAACATATTTAAAGAGATTATGTACTATTCTTTATTTGAAATAAAAACTATTTTAAAATACTTTCTTAATTTTTTAATAAAATATAATTTAGTCTAGATATATTATTATTAAAATTATATATATATATATATATACAATATTACATTTTATATAATAATAGATTATTTTTAAGCAATGATTTTTTAAAAATGTTTTGTTAATTTATTATCATTTAAATTTTAACTTTGAAAAATATATATTAAAATATATAATCAATCATCTCACTAATATTTGGAAGGGTTGATTAAACATGATTGAAATATTTTTACAATATTATGGAAAAAATCTTTATTAAAAGTTCACTAAGAAAATACCAGTAAAAAAGTAGTTTTTCTAATACTTGAAAATACCTTTGAGACAATCAAAAAATTATTTTTCTATATATATTTTATTTTTATTATAGTTTAATACAATTGAATATATTACCATGCTGTCGTTATATTTTTTATTCAATTAATGATTATTATTTTAACGTTTTATTGTTTGAATTATAAAATATAAGAAATTATATATATATATATATATATATATATATAATTTCATTGTGATTTTGAGTTATTAAAAGGAATATAGTATCATTGAAAACATTTTTTTTAAAACAAATCTATTGGTTATATTAATTAAAGGAAATGATGATGAAATCAAGAGATTTGAGATATTTTATTAGCTTATCATCATTAAAATTTTGTCTTTATTAAACTATATCACTTTTAAGAAAATATCCTTACTTTTCTTCTATTTTTATTCCCCCTGTTTGTCTCGATAAAACCATGTAAAAATAAATTGGGTCCTTGCGAGTCATTTTTCATAAATCTTTTGATAAAAAAAAAACTTTTATAAATGTCTAATTTTTTATTTTAATTGTTAAATATACTATTTTTATAAATATTTAACAATAAACATAAAATAAAATTATATTATGTGATTTTTCATGGTCACTCTTTTTTTTTTTTGGAGAAAAAGAAAATTGGAATTAAAAAAAATATTTATTATTTCATATAGCTTTAAGGCATCTTATGACAAAAAAAGTGAGTAAATATTCTAAATCATTTTATTAAAAGAAATAAATAAGAGAAAAATATATATTTATGAGAGTAAATGTCCAAAGTAATTATATATATTCTTGGGTGTGTTTAAATTAGAAGATGAACTTGAGGGAGTGAAAAATAATAGAGTTAAGTAAATAAAGGGGTGTGTTTAGATTAAGTATGTGTTTTTATAGGAGAAAGAATTTGAGATAATTTGAATGAATTTGTGTGATTGTTTTGATTGAGGAAAAAAAAAAATTTTAAATAGATTTATTGTAATAGATGTGATTGAATATAAAATAATTGAATAATAGTATTTTTAGTATAATAACCAAGTTATTTTTATAAAGTGAAATGAAATATTAATGTAAATAAAAAAAATTAAGAGAAAATTCAAATATTTATTATTCAACTATTAACTTTTTCATCATTTCTCACTAGATGAAATAAACTGTGGTACTCACCTCTCCATTACCCAAATTTTACTCAAGTATAAATAAACTAATAAATATTTAGTCAAATCGTTCCTTCAAATAATCTGCTATATTAAATTATTATAAATGAATGAAGTATACATGAAAGATGATAAAAAAAGTAAAAAAAAAATCATAAAAACTTAGGAGTGATTTGAATAATATAAATGATAAATAAATTATTTAAATAAAAGTTAATAATAATTAAATTATAATTAAATAAAAGTCGTTATTATTAATATAATTTAAATGTTATAATTGTTTTAATTTTTTTTTAATTATTAATAATAATATTATTATTATTAAAATAAGATGTATTATTATTTATATATTATATATTATATAATATAGACTCTCCGCGGTTTTTTTCTTTTAAGGACTAAAAATTTATTGGAAATCGTAAATTTGTTGTCTCCATATATTATCTTTCTTTGCAAATATCGGCTACTCACTTTTCTATCATTTGATTCAACAAATAATCATGAAGTAGAATTTCAAAATGATAATATTTTTATTTGAATATTATTAAAATTACTCAAATTAACTTTTAGATGATAGCTTTCGGTACTAAGGTTAACATGTCAAAAGTTATTATGTTAATAGATATTTTCGAATAATAAAATTAAATAATAACATTATTTAAATTAAACAAATTTATATATATATATATATATATATCATATATATTTTAATTATGTGATAAAAAGTAAAGTTTTAGGTGAGTGACATTAATAAATGAAATATGGATTTGTTTATTTAATTTTAATTTATGAAATTAATATTATCTTTAAAACAGATTAAACTTACATTATATAACAAACCTTATTTGAATTTATCTTTTAGAAATTTTATTTTGTATACTAATATTATAGGATATAAATTTATTTATTTATAATTTATAATAAATTGTTTTATTTAAGTTTATGTTTTAAAGAATTTTGTTTAGAAAAAATAATCTATAAAGTTGAATCTTACTGAAATAAACCACAACAAATTCAAGTATGAATTTGCTTTTTACATGTATAATGATATGTTGTTACATTTTTCAACTACTTTAGGTGTTGGTTTAATATATTAATTACAAACGAAAAGTTAAAAATATTCAACGTGACTTCATAATTTTGAAATAACTAAAACATATATTAGGTGTTAGTAAGAGAGACAAAAAAAACGTTATTTAATAGTAAAAGATGATTTATATTCTTATGGAAAGTGTCAATAGGAAAAAAGATGGTTTATGTCATTCATTATTACTTTTTATTTATCAAACAAATAAATAAATTTTGCATGTTGACAAGACGTAAGCATTTACATAAAGAAAAATAAAGTCCTCTTAAACGTAATGTTTTAATTTATTTGTAGTTTCCTTAATATATATTAACATATAAATTTTATTAAATAAAATTAGTTTACAAAAATTATATCTATACAAATATATATACCTTCTCCCTAAATATGTAATAATAAGATAGTTACAATTTATTATTATATTTGAGTTATTATCCATTCAATCCAAATATATTATAATAATACAGTTAAGATTTATTATATTATTTAAAATATTATTTATTTTATAAATTTAGTCTGTTATAAAAAAAATTTAATATTTAATAATTAAGATAAAAAAATATATAAATTATCTCTTATTTCAATTTTTAATCAATTTAACAAAGATATTAATATATATATACATTAAAAATGATATTAACATTATATATATTAAAAATTTAGTAACAAAGTTTATAAAATGTAATCCTAACATGAGAAATATATTAAGAAAAACATATAGAAAAAATCCATTTTAAGTATAAATATTTGTTACATACACAGATATTTATATTTTTATATACATTTATCAATTTTTTATATTATTATTTTTTAAATTTTTATTTTATTTTTACGTTTTCCCGTCATTATTTAAATATATTTTACGTTTAGCGTAACACATTTTATATTATTTTTCTTGTTTTTGTTATTTAATGAAAAAGATAAGATATAGAAAGGAAAATCTCCTTCTTACTGACGAGTAGAAATACCATATATTATTATTAATTTTTATTTAGTTTTTTTTCTCGTCAATCACACCTTTTTCTTTTTCTTTTCATACCTATCATATATATTTTTTCTCTGCTCTTATATATTCCATGAAAAATAATATTATATGATAAGAAGTAATGATAAAAAAACGGTTATAAAAACTCTTTATATATATATAAATGATACTAAAGATTATCTTAAAAAAAACGAAGTGCAACAATGGAAGATCCCTGCATGGATGGCCCAGCCCAATCATTGGTCTAGTTTCAGATGATATTTTTCGTAAGGATTCTACGATAGCGTGGCCCAAAGTCTTACATACATAAAATCACACGTTTTATCATTTAAATTATTTTGCATAAATTTTCACACACACACACACACACATCAAACAAATCGCCTTTTAATTTAATAATGAAGTGAAAAAAAAAAAAGTAAATTATATTTTTACGATAGATCGAAAGATAAAGGTCATTAATATTTATTTTTAAACACTTAATAAAGAATAAAGAATCAGCACCACTCTTACTCTATTACTTCCTTTTATCTATTGCCACCAATGTTGTTGGGAACGATCATTATTATTATTAGTATTCAACCATAATAAGCATCTTAAAATTGCTTCAATGAAATGAGGATCTAAAAAAGGGTAAAAGAGAAACAAACATAGTGTGCATAGAGTGTTCCTTGATCCTTTTGGGGGGATTCTCTTTTAGCATCCATCTTGTTTGCTTGATGTTTACTTAATCACCCCACCAACCTGTTAATGGCAGTAATAATGTGTAGCCCCCCATCCTTTTCTCTCCATAAAGCCACCACAATTGCACAACCCTTTGCTTTACTCATCTTCCTAAATCCATCTTTACTACAAACATTCACCTTTTTTTTTTAATCTTTACTTTTTTGCCTTCATAGAACACGAATGAAAATCATGAGTGAAACAAACTTATTAAAAAAGATCAAGCATTTATTTTTATTTATAAAATTAAAGAAAAAAAATTTACTGATCATTGCTCCAACATTCCAACAAGGCGCAGGCATCATCCTTCCCACAAATCACAATTCATTTAACTTAATTCTATCATCTGGTTTAGTTCTTTTTACTAGATTGGAAATCTATAATATTGACGTTGTTTGAGTTTTATTCTACAGTTGTTCTACTCTATCAATTAATTTTACAAAATAAAATATCTTTCCACTGAAGACTTGGTTAAACTTTGAAAAGAAAGAAACATTTTTGTAGTTTTTTTTTAAGTTATTATTTCAAACAAGTATAATTAAAATGTTTTTTAATGAATTTTGTTGTTGATTACCATAAAACATCACCCACGTGTTTCAATGTAATAGTTATTAATAGATTATAAGCAAGAAAAAACCAATAATAAAAAAACAACAACAACGATGTAGTCCTTTTTTTGGTTTTTTGAACTACAAAAGATAGTAAGACACAAGAACACTTCAACACACAAAGACTTAGGCTTGAGATACTCCTTGTGACAGTTAAGAGCGAACAAACTTAAGAAAATATATATATGCAATTTTTAGTTCACTGTGCTGATATGAACCAAAACACTGCTAAAAAAGCTTAGATTCGATTACTGCTGCTACCCCTTTTAAGCAATACATTAAATATGTAATAGTAAATGTTACGTGAGATTTGAGGCACGTGTTACGTTTATAACAAAACAATATCTTTCCCAGTTCAGTACAAATAAAAGAGGTTAATAGTACTTATTGATATTAGTCCCCACCCCGAGATGATGATGATGATGATGATGAGAACAGCACAGACATGGTAATGGTGGCCACCATGGTTGTTAGTTATAACTTGTAAATGCACCTAACTACCTTCACCCGCCTCGGGCCTCATCATCCTAATAAAAAGAATTGAAACGAATCGGTCCACGTGATAGGAGTGGGTAGCAAACTCATTATTCAAATTTAACATGTTACATTGACACATTTATTTTACGTTATGTTATGCCATCTTACAAACTCATGACATTTAATTTCCCAAAGCCGAAAAATAAGGCAACCAAAAATAAAAGATGACACAAGCTGTTTCAGAGATGAAAGGGACAGCAGAATCATGTGAAGTGCCGCCACATACACACACATTCACTCACTCTCTTTCTCTCTCTCAACTTGTCTCTTAAATTCAACTAAAACACACCCTTTGTGAGAGCTTGTTGCTGTTGTTGTGTGGTTCGGGTGTTGGGGCCAACTCAAGTTCAATGGCTGCAACAGCTTCAAGGTTCATCAAGTGCGTGACAGTCGGGGATGGAGCTGTAGGCAAAACTTGCATGCTCATTTGCTATACAAGCAACAAATTCCCCACGGTATCAACTCTCTGTAGGATATCTTTTAGCTTCAGTCATGTGTTATTGTTGAGATCATATTAGATTTCGTGAAATCAATGTCTCTTTTTCATGCATTCTGGTTGGGGGAGAAGGGAATTCCATATTCTTGTTGAAAGAACAAAATTTTTTCATGTGGGTTGTTCCTTAATATGTTGTCTCAGTTGAATCTCTCTGCCTTGTGTTTTGGAGTCTAATTTTTGCCTTGGCCCCCCTATGCGGTGTATCTCTGCTTGGGGGTTGTTTGGTTATTATCAGGACTATATTCCAACAGTGTTTGATAATTTCAGTGCAAATGTGGTGGTTGAAGGCACGACAGTCAATTTAGGCCTCTGGGACACTGCAGGTATATGTTTAAACACACTTTTCAATTTCTGTATATATTTACATTTTTATATAGAGAGGGGCTAAGAGTGTCAGAGATGAGAGTAGTTACTCTTCACCATTCAATGTTACATGGATGGACAAAGTAGGTTTTCTGATGCTCACAATGTATGAAAGTTAAGATCATATTAGCCTGCATGAATTTTGTGATGTGCATAATGGTAAAGGTTGTAATGTTCCGTTTGCTTCCACTGTCTTCCTTAGGGCAAGAGGATTACAACAGGCTGAGGCCTTTGAGCTACAGGGGGGCAGATGTCTTTGTCCTGGCCTTCTCTTTAGTTAGTCATGCAAGCTACGAAAATGTGTTGAAGAAGGTATTGCAGGGTCTCAACTGTATATTATTCATGAAACTGGTTATTCAATAGGTACAAATATAAATTAGTATTAAAAAAATAATAAACATTCATAACATAATAATTTTAGTAAAGTACGATAATGTCTATTAAAAATGGCAAGTTTATATTTGGAATAAAAAGAAATGATAAATTAATATAATACACAAATATAAAAAAATGTAAATTAATACAAACAAGTAAATGATATGTTTTATAAGAAAAAAAAATCATCGTAATTGATAAAGTAATATACCGATTTGTAACCTTTATTGAATATGTGTGCTTATTTATCTTCAAAATAATTTACATTAAATTTAAAAAATTAAAAATATCTGTTCAAACTAGTTTTCTTCACCGATTTTGGACTAGTTTTTTACCCATTTTGATTGTTCGGTTTTTAAGAGTCATTGGACCGATGATCGATTCCTAATCAGAATGGTCCGTTTTGGTCCGATATTTGACATGTCTTGATGGTTTCTCTTCTATTTTCTAATTTTGAATATACACTTTTCAGTGGGTTCCTGAACTGCAGCATTTTGCTCCTAGCATTCCAGTGGTGCTAGTTGGCACCAAATTGGGTGAGTCTCAAGAACTGGTCTTACAATTTGCATCAATCAAATATTATTTTATCAACTGTTTGTTGTTTTTGTGTGTGTGTGTGTGATAGTCATTTTGTTCATAAGGCGTATGGTATGCAGACAGGTATAGATTTGATTCTCTAGAGGGTCCTTTTGTTGTGCCGAAACATATAAGCTCATTTTCCATGGAGTCATTTGGGTTCAAGTATGAATTTTTGTATAAAATAGATTTGTTGAATAACAAGACTCAAACCTAATGTCTTAAAACATTTTGGATTGGAAATGGTAATATGTTCATCATTAAATGTAAGATTGTCCTGCAGTTAATTCACAGAACGTTTATTAAGAGAGAAATTTACTGTGGCAAAATATTGGATAACATAATCATAATCATAATCTAATAAGTCAACAGATAATGTTGGTTATCTCAATTTGTTACTTCAGATAATTTAAATTTTGGTTGTGAACAAATTTCAGTCCCCGCCTTTCCTTCAGAACCCTTTTGACCTCTCATATGATCATTTCCCTTCAGCACTTCGCTATTTTTGACCTAAGTTAGTGTTGGTCAAAGAAAGTGACTGCCAAATTTTTCAATTCTTACTGCCAAATTTTTTATGCAAGCATGAGGTGCACGAGGCATATTTTATTGCAATGCACAGTACCAATTTTTGTTATAAATTGGTCTTCTTCCTGCAAGCAAAATCATCTCATCCCACACAAAATATTACTTCTCTTATAGAAGAAAAGAGTGGCACCAGTGAGAGGCAGAAAAACTAGAGAGTTTTAGTTTAGCTTCTGGGTGTAATTGGGTTGTGAGTTGTGAGTGTTTTGGGAGTGTTTTGTAAACACTTGTGTATTTTCTTTTCTCCTAAAAAGAGATCTGTAGTAGTCCGGAGACGTAGGCATTATTGGCCGAACTCCGTTATCAACTTGTGTTTGCAATTATTCCGCTTTTATTTCACTTTCACAGATCTGACCATATGAGAAGATTCAGCATATTTTTTCTCAACAACTGGTATCAGAGCTGGTTGTTAGTTTTGTAATTTTTGTGGTGTTACTATTCATATGAATAGTAAGTTACTATTCCGTGAATAGTGAAAACGTGAATAGTGCAAATTTTGTCGGCGTTACAAATTTGCCCGCAGTCGTGTTCTGAAACACGGTAGCTCACAAAAATTGTCAGAAACGATCCAGCAGATAAGTCGGATCGAGTTGGAGTGATGGTCGCAGACGAAGGAAAAATGAAAATCGAAAGGTTCGACGAGTACGAGACTTTGGCTTCGGAAGATGCGGATAGAGGATTATCTCGTATCGAAGAAGATGCATCAACCACTCATAGGGGAGAAGCCGGAAACCATGAAAGAGGAAGAATGGAGTCTCCTTGATAGACGAGGCTCTTGGAGTTATTCGTCTAACATTATCCCGTAATGTTGCTTTTAACATTGTGAAAGAAAAGACGACCTCGAGATCTCATGAAGGCTCTTTCCAACATGTACGAGAAACCATCGGCCTCAAACAAAGTTCACTTGATGAGGCGATTGTTCAACCTCGCGGATGTCCGAAGGTGCTTCGGTGGCAAATCATCTCAATGAACTCAACACCGTAACAACCCAATTGAGTTCTATTGACATCAAATTCGATGATGAAGTACAAGCTTTAATACTTTTGTCTTCCCTACCGGAGAGTTGGAATGCTACGGTCACAGCTGTGAGTAGCTCATCGGGAAACAATAAGTTAAGATTTAATGATGTTCAAAATTTGGTTCTCAGCGAAGAGATCCGGCGGAGAGAGTCGGGTGAAGCATCAACCTCTTCGATGTGCATACGAGTCAAGAGGAAGAAGTTCAACCAAAGAAATTAGACATGGAAAATCAAAGGACGAGCGGTCCAAGTCTAGAAATCATCGTAGTTCCCACAACTCAAAGTCGATCGAGTGTTGGAATTGTGGGAAGACCGGACACTTCGAAAACCAAGTGCAAGAGTGCACGGAAGAATCAAGGAGCAAAGGACGAAGCAAACGTTGCCTCCACCTCGGGAAAAGATGAGACATTGATATGCTCCCTTGAAGGCGGGGAGGAGTCTTGGGTGTTAGACTCTGGAGCATCTTTTCATGCTACCTCACGAAGGAACTGTTGGAGAATTATGTTCCGGAAACCTTGGTAAGGTTTACCTTGGTAATGAACAGTCATGTGAGATTGTAGGCAAAGGTGCGATAAGGATTAAGCTGAATGGGTCTCGTATGGGAATTGAAAAATGTCGGACATATTCCCGACTCGACAAAGAGCTTAATCTCGGTAGGTCGGTTAGCTAGTGAAGGCTATACGACAATCTTCCACGGTGATGAATGGAAGATCTCAAAAGGTGCGATGACGATTGCTCGAGGCAAAAGAGTGGAACTCTCTACAAGACTCGAGGAGCATGTCATTTGATTGCAGTTGCAACAAATGAAAATTCCAACATATGGCACCAAAGACTTGGACATATGAGTGAGAAAGGAATGAAGGTCATGCACTCGAGAGGAAAATTACCGTGTCTTCGGTCAGTAGATATTGACATGTGTGAAGATCGCATACTTGGAAAGCGTAAGAGAGTCGGCTTTCGGACAAGTAAAAGAACCCCAAAGAAAGAGAAGCTTGAGCTCATCCACTCGATGTTTGGGGTCCAACGAATGTTCCATCCGTTGGTGGGAAGCATTACTTCGTGACTTTCATTGATGATCACTCCGTAAAGGTATGGGTTTACTTTCCGAAATATAAGTCGAAGTATTTGAAGCTTTCAAGATTTGGAAAGCTATGGTGGAAAATGAGACAGGATTGAAGATTAAGAAGCTCGGATCCGATAATGGTGGTGAATATGTAGACACCAGATTCAAGAAGTTTTGCTATGAGCACGGAATCGGAATGGAGAGAACCGTGCGCGGTACGCCTCAACACAATGGTGTAGTCGAGCGTATGAATCGAACGTTGATCGAAAGGGCCGAAGCATGCGTGTGCAATCAGGCTTACCAAAGTAGTTTTGGGCGTAAGCAATCAACACAACGAGCTTACTTGATCAACCGAAGTCCATCGGTACCATTGGAGCACAAGATACCGGAAGAGGTATGGAGCGGAAAAGAGGTAAAACTCTCACATCTTAGAGTTTTTGGTTGTGTAGCATATGTGCATATCAGTGATCAAGGCAGAAACAAACTTGATCCAAAATCAAAGAAATGTACTTTCCTTGGTTATGGTGAATATGAGTTTGGCTACCGCATATGGGACGATGAAAACAAAAAGATGATCCACAGCAGAGACGTAATCTTCAATGAAAGAGTGATGTACAAGGACAGGCATAATACAAGTGCCAGCAACTCCGAAGCGAGTGGGCCAGTTTATGCAGAGGTGGAAGATATCCCGGAAAGTCCTATAATGAGGAGTCCTCGACCGGAGGAATCGGTTGAAGAACTTGATGTGCAAGCTGAACCTCCTACTCCAACTCCCGTATTGAGAAGGTCTTCTCGGCCTCATGTGCCTAACAGGAGATACATGGACTACATGTTGTTGATCGATGGAGGGAGCCCGAAGATTATACGGAAGCTTGTCAAGCCACGGATGCTAGCAAGTGGGAGCTTGCCATGAAAGACGAGATGAAGTCTTTAATCTCAAATCGGACATGGGAACTAGTCAAGTTACCTATGGGAAAGAAAGCACTTCACAACAAATGGGTGTATCGAGTGAAGGAAGACCATGATGGTTCTAAGAGATACAAAGCTCGATCGGTCGTCAAAGGATTTCAGCAGAAAGAAGGAGTCGACTACACCGAAATCTTTGCTCCAGCTTGTAAAGCTCAATACTATCGGGATCGTGTTAAGTATTGTGGCTAGTGAGGAGCTCTACCTAGAGCAATTAGATGTGAAGACCGCATTTCTTCATGGAGATTTAGATGAGGAGATCTACATGCACCAACTCGAAGGTTTTTCGAAGGAAAGAAGAACTTGGTGTGCAGATTGAAAAAGAGCTTGTATGGCCCGAAACAAGCTCCAAGACAAGTGGTATAAGAAGTTCGAAAGCTTCATGCACAATGAGAGTTTTCGAAGTGCAACGCTGATCACCGTTGTTTCTTCAAGAGGTATAAGTCCAGTTATATCATTTTGCTACTTTATGTTGATGATATGCTAGTAGCGAGGTTTAGATATGAATGAGATCATAAACTTAAAGAAGCAAGTTGTCAAAAGAATTTGACATGAAGGACTTAGGCCCAACAAAGAAGATTCTTGGAATGCAAATCACGAGAGATAAGCAAAAAGGAGTTTTGCAGTTATCTCAAGCGGAGTACATCAACCGTGTTTTGCAGAGATTTAACATGGACAATGCCAAACCAGTCAATACACCTTTGGCTTGCCATTTTCGTCTATCCAAGGATCAGTCTCCTCAAACAAAGGAAGAAGAAGAGTTAATGGCTAAGATTCCGTATGCTTCAGCCATTGGAAGTTTGATGTACGCGATGGTCTGTACGAGGCCGGACATTGGCCATGCGATGGGAGTTGTAAGCGGATTCATGACAAATCCAGGAAAAGCTCATTGGGAAGCAGTCAAATGGATTCTAAGGTATTTACGAGGCACAACGGAAAAATGTCCGTATTTTAGAAAAGGAGATCTAAAATTGCGGGGCTACGTAGATGCGGACTTTGGAGGTGAAGTTGATCACCGAAGAAGCACCACTGGGTATGTGTTTATCGTTGGAACTACAACTGTTAGTTGGATGTCGCGGATACGTAAGATTGTTGCTTTATCCACTACGGAGGTCGAGTATGTAGCGAGTGACGGAAGCCGATAAAGAATTGATATGGCTTCAAGGATTGTTGGCGAGTTGGGATTCATTCAAGAAAGAAGTGTTTTGCACAGTGATAGTCGAGTGCAATACATCCGGCAAAAAATTCAGCATTTCACTCCGTAACCAAACACATCGACATACGTTATCATTTCATCGGATCTCTACTTGAGGATGAGATGCTAACATTGAAGAAAATTGTGGGAAGTAAGAACCCAGCAGATATGCTAACAAAGGTGGTGACTATTGACAAACTGAAGTTGTGCTCAACTTCAGTTAGCTTACAAGGATAACAGACAAGAGAAGACTACTATTGATCAAGGTGTGAGGACAGATTGAAATCGGTCCTCAAGTGGGAGATTGTTGGTCAAAGAAAGTGGCTGCCAAATTTTTCAATTCTTACTGCCAAATTTTTTATGCAAGCATGAGGTGCACAAGGCATATTTTATTGCAATGCACAGTACCAATTTTTGCTATAAATTGGTCTTCTTCCTGCAAGCAAAATCATCCCATCCCACACAAAATATTACTTCTCTTAGAGAAGAAAAGAGTGGCACCAGTGAGAGGCAGAAAAACTAGAAAGTTTTAGTTTAGCTTCTGGGTGTAATTGGGTTGTGAGTTGTGAGTGTTTTGTAAACACTTGTGTATTTTCTTTTCTCCTAAAAAGAGATCTGTAGTAGTCCGGAGACGTAGGCATTATTGGCCGAACTCCGTTATCAACTTGTGTGTGCAATTATTCTGCTTTTATTTCACTTTCACAAATCTGACCATATGAGAAGATTCAGCGTATTTTTTCCCAACAGTTAGTCCTGGTTTTCTGAGTTGTGTACCCTATATGTGTGGATAACATTTCTCATTGCATCTTGCAGCAATAGCAACTTAGTAGACACAAAAGTAATGACAAAATATTGAATCTGCCAATTTTATAGACTTTTTTACACCTTTCTTTCATGAATATTGGTAATTAGTTGGATGTGCAGTGTTATTAACTTTTGCATATAATGCTGCATTATGGGAATCTTGTAGATCTCCGAGAAGACAAGCACTATTTGGCTGATCATCCTGGCCTGGTGCCTGTAACTTCTGAGCAAGTACAATTTTTACTTTATTAGCCACCTAAAGAATTCAATCGGTAGTGTTTATTGAAACTCTTGGGTTTTTGTTTATAATCAGGGAGAGGAATTGCGTAAACTGGTAGGAGCTACATATTATATTGAGTGCAGCTCAAAAACTCAGCAGGTATGTTTACTCCACCATTTAGGTACAACACACACTTGATGTCTCAAGCAATACATAGGCAATATTTTCACATTCTGTTCTAAAGAAAATGATCTCAACTCTACTTCAGAGGCATTGTAGCACATTGTTCACCAGTGCATTACTGAGCAAAACATACTTCAGACATACTACTTATTGTAGTGGAAAATGCTAGGCTGAGGGAACATTTCTTTTAGAATTTGGACTTTAAGGTATAATTTAAACCCCGCAAAGAGTCCGCAACTAAGTCTGGATATAGGAGTGAGATCAATAAAGACTACTTTCCAGGCATTTCATTTTGAAATTAAGCACAGGAGAGAAAAATGGGTCAAATCTAAGATTATCCAATTAATGGGGTGGGTGATGGAAAACCTTAGATAACTTTAATAATAGTATTAATGTGTTAAAATTTTGATTCTTGTCAAAGACCAATGATGCCAACGACCCATTTAGCTGAGTACACCTGTAGCCGGTGAGACGAGCTTAGTTGTTGTCTGTGGAAAAAGTTTAAATCAATTATGTGAAGGGACCATACTATTATTGTCCTGATCATAAATGGTGCTTTGTAAACTCTAGGGAAATTTTAGTTCTCTAGAGAGAATATGCGGAAGAAGTAAATTTACCCCAATGATTGCTTTGGGATTAAAATTTCTACAGTAAAGCTAAGCTTTAAGTTAATGATCTCTGTCTCATTTTTTTCTTCAGAAGATAGTTTTTGCCATTTTTGCAGATAAATACTTAGTGTTATTCCTTAAATTATGCTGCAAATGACCCTATTGTCAATGCAATTAATTAATTGCAGAACGTGAAGTCAGTTTTTGATGCTGCTATCAAGGTGGTCATCAAGCCTCCACATAAACAAGAGAAGAAGAAAAAACCACGTCGAGGGTGTCTTCTGTCAGTACACTTTTTTCATATCATAACAACTCCTGCACGTGAAACTGTCTTACTTGAGGATAGATCATTAAGTGTTGATTACTGCTATCACAATCAAAATTATCCATACATGTAGATACCTTTCCTAAAGATACTAACCGTTCTAATAACAAACATTAAAATTGATTACTATTTTTAGTTTCCAATGAAGCATTCTTTATTTTGTTACCAACTTGTTTTAAAATAAATTATATCAATGTTTGGCTCTGCACCAAATAAAAGGAATGCATTGGTTCAATATTGATCGTATATTGTTTGTGGATTATCATGTAGTGGAGGGTTTTATTTAATCCATGTCAATGAAATTGCAGGAATGTCATCTGTGGAAGGAATGTAGTTCGTTTTAAATGAGACATTTCATCAACGACTTTTCTTGGGTGGGAGGGAGAAGCTCTGTCACGACCACTCTGTAGAAATTTTTCAATGAAATACTAAGCTTTTGTCGGGAGAAAATACTAAGCTTTTGATGCAAATTTCTTGTAAGGAAAGGAGAGTCCAAGCCAACTTATTGTTGTTGGCGATCTTTTTTTTTTTAACTCTTGGCAAGTTATAATTATGCTTCTGTTGACATGACCTACATAGATGAATCAGAAGAAAATCTCAAATTTATTTGTTACGTTCACATATATGATAAAAAAAATCATTATTTTTGTAATTATTTGCTTTTGATAAGCTTTCACAGTAATCAAATAGGAATAGGAAGGAACTTTAAATAGTTATTTTATTTCTTAATAATCAAATAAAAAAATATCCAAAATAACTACTACTAACAACTTTTGTTATAAATTACTTAATTTTGATTATGCAGTTGATTTTGTTAACTAAGTGGATAATATTAGAGGTTTAATAAAGTAGTTTCCTAAGAAATATTTGATCTAGAGTTGATTATTATAATACAAGTCATATATAGTAGTGAAGAAAATTTGAATAAGTGAAAATTTAAATAATCAAATAGATAAGATTATTGAATCCAAATAAATATTTTATTTTCGGTAGGTTGTTCACCTTTTCTAGATGCTGAAGATTTCTAAAACTATACTAGTTTTAGAGAAATAATTAAACAAATAAAACAAATAAACATGTGTATGTATCATTTACTGTGTTTTATTATTCTGTTTAAAGTTAAAGTAGCTAAATTAAAATTGCCAAAATTTAATTTAAAGCTTATCTACGTTCCGTCAAGTTACGTTATTGAAGCCCAAAACGCAGAAACAAACATTTAATTCGGATTTGGTTCATTTAAATTTGCCAGGCCCAAAAGTAAAACACCAATTGAATTTAAAAGTTTGGAATAGTAAAAAATATATTAACTTTTTTCCTTTTACAAGATTCGTAGAAAAATAATATTAACTTTTCTGTAAAATTAGTTTGTGCATAAGTTGACTCACGGGAGTTTTTTAACTTATGTTATAATTTTTTATAAAAATAAATAATTAAAAAAAAACTGAATAGTTTATAAGAAAAAAGATGACGCGGTTTCGAGTTTTGTTGTGATCACGTGTTATGAGAAAATTGAGGACACGTGCAATTCAAGTAATGTCTTATTCATCTGTCCAAATATATTAGTAGATCTCAGAGAAAGAGTTATATATATATATATATATATATATATATATATATATATATATATATATATATATATATATATTTGTACTATTATTGTGTCTTTACTTTTTTTAACATATTTGTCAAATAAAAAATAAAATAAATATATTTTAGATACAGATAATGTTTTTGTCCATAACTTTTATATTAGTAATTTATTTATAAAATTATTTGCTTTATCTACTTTTTAGATGTATTTACGTTATTTTCTATTCTTTAGATTTATATTATATGTTTTTCATTATTTTCTTTCTATTCATTTTTTCAATATATAAATTATAATAATTATTTTTTTCTTTTAGAAACCATAAAAAATTATATATATTAAATTTAAAAAAAAATATTTGTATCCTTAATTATTATAAAGTATTACAATATTTTGTTCAACTTTTAATCATTTCTAACTTCCAACTTCATGGAGGTGAAGTGTAATAAAATATTTATATATTTTTTCAACAATGTAATTTGCTTTTTTTTTTTTAGTTTTAGTTTGCATGTATTTAAAAAAAAAATATCTGTGTAAAGTTCCTCTTTTTATTTATTTTATTTTAGTTGGTTTAACATATTTCCTCTGTTTCTATGAGACAAAATTTGATATTAACTATTAAACTATATTCATATCCTTAACTTACAACATCTATTTGTCAGACATTATTTATGACATACAATAATTAAATGCAGCTCCTATTTTTTAAAACCCATTATAAGGATATTTTGGGAAATATTAAAAATTATATAATTTCATTGTTTCCATTGTTTTTAATAATTTGGGTATATTCTTATAAATAAGATTAGAGGGAGTATTTAAAAAAAAAAATGGGCTCTTGTTGTAACGACCCTAGAAATCGTTACTATAATAATGTCTTCGCAAAGTAGTAAACAAGTAAATAACGACATTTATTTTACATTATATTATTGTAATTGTAACATAGATTGAAATTCTATTTCACTAACGGAACCTCAAAATATAATAACATAATTTATTTATATATTATACATGTAAAAGTAGTTCCCTCAAAGTTATCCCACTGAACTATCCCTGCTATCCAGTAGTCACATTTCCATCTCTCAACTCCTGATCTGCTCCCACATAAAAGTGATCATCGCAATCCCATCCACATGAAAAAATAGGGGTAAGTATTAAATCATTCGATATAATAAAACAGATATAGAAGTAATAATTATATATTATGATCAATTATAAAATTATCAACACACTAAGACACCTTCCGGAAGTATACCCTAACTATGCCCGAACTCAAAGGCTATCATCTGTGGGCATATATTGTGATCGATACCCGCAGTACCATTATGACCACCCTCCACACAAAGTAGGATTACTGGTGCCCTTCATCACTCATACTGGAGTACCCCTCCGAGCGCGCCACCAGTCATCCCCCATTGACTTCTCACCACCTGATCTCGTAGTCTACCTGACCTAACTAATCAGTGAAGTCTGGGACCTCATTCAGAATCCTCCGACATAGTTATTACACTACTGTACTCTGTACCACCCCGGGTACCATTCAAACATAACAAAAATTATTCACATTTGCCGGATTCTGGACCACCTGTCCTCACGGCTCATTCGGGCCAATAAAAATAGTATTTGACTGATTCTGACACCAACTTTCCGACTCAATCTAGCCAATATATAACGTCTCAGGACTGATTCTGGACATCAGCCCTCAGGCTCAGTCTGACCCACACACGTCACAACACACTACTTTCATTTTCTCTCTCTATATATATATTTTTCTAAAATCATTTCCGAAATCATTTCCGAAACTATTTCCAAAACTATTTCTGAAACTATTTTCGAAATCATTAAATTACTATTTTGCCCTTAATCTTTTCTTAAAATTCCATGTATGTCCCTAAATGACTATTTTACCCTTGGACATTTTTGAAAATTCCTTCCATGTCCCAAAAATGACTATTTTACCCTTGGACATTTTCAAAAATTCCTTCCATATCCCAAAAATGACTATTTTACCCTTGAAAATTTTTATAAATTCCATTTATGTCCCTAGGATGTAAAATGACTATTTTGCCCTTGAACATTTTCAAAAATTACATTTATGTCCCTAGGATGTAAAATGACTATTTTACCCTTGATCTTTTTAAAAATCTCCACCATATCCCTTTCTTCTTCCTTCGCCCGATAATAGTGTCGAATTTTGCAGATTTTGACAGATTTCAAATTACTCGGCTTTTAGACAACCAAACTAGTCCCAAATCGAAATTAAACATGAATTATATTTAATTTAAGTTGAAAACAACAATTTTACCATATAATTCATCCTTAATTTCAAGAATTTAATCAATATTTAAAACTTTGCAAAATATGAATAGTAATCACCTCCAGATCGCCATTTTCAAAATCCAGGTTTCAAATTTCTCAGTTTCAATCACCCAAATTAGTTCCAAATCAAAATTAAACCATAAACATGTTCAATTTAAGTTAAAAACAACAATTTTATTATATAAGTCATCCTTAATTTCAAGAATTTCAAAAAATTTCAAACGGTGAACAGTTCTTTTAAATCAGATATTCAAATAATTCATATCTCTACTCCTATTCCTTATTCACAAAGTACCCAGCAATTCAATTTCATATATTGAATGAATTAAATTTCCCCTTACTTGGTATGGTATTTCTACCGAAGTTTTCCCACTTAATTCAAGTTTTCTCCCGTTTCACCAGATCCTGCACAAGTAGAGTCTTGTTGCTTGAAATTTAGACGATAGAAGAAAAAGAATGAAGAACATGTGATATGAGAGAAATAATTTCCTGTAGAAACCATTCATAAGTTTTCTTGCACGATAAAAAAAACATATGTCACACTTGTAATATAATATATAGATCATTAGTTTTAGTTTTTTGTCAAATATTTTTTAAAAACTAATTTAAAATATAAAAAACGTAACACCAATTAAAACGAAAAATAAATATACTATAAAGATATAAACTATAAGATAAGAAAACAAAATTATTGAACTCATTTTTAGAAAAAACAAATTTAGTAAAAAAATTGACAAAAAAAATTATAATAAAATTAGATTCAATTTAAAATATATATATATATATATATATATATATATATATATATATATATATATATATATAGTACCCTGGCAATAAAAAAGGTGATTTTGCTTTCGAATTTAAAATTTAGACCTGAAACACATTAATCTAATAAACTTTTAATATATTAATTGCTATTATTATTTATATTTTTCAATTATATATTATAATAATAATAATTTATATTCATCATTATCTTGATTTAAACTCATATTTCAGTCACTTTTAACATCAATATAATAATAATAATAATAATAATAATAATAATAATTTATTACTGAGATGATAATAGATTTAGATAATTCATAGAGAGTTTGGTTATTTTTTTAAAATTATTTATAAAGATTTGTTATTTATAAAATTTAAATTTATATTAATTATTT